TCGCTCGTGTCACTTGCTCGCTCGCCCCCCGCCCCTCCCGCCCTCTTTCTCTCAAGTAATAATTAGTGCCCCTGGCGTCCTCTGTTGCCCCCTGCGCCGGGGGCATGGCCCCCCGGGGCCCACGCCTCCCATGTCCTGGGCGTGGCCGGGCGTGGCCCCGCTGCCTGGCGTGCACGCGCGGGGCGTTGACACAGAGGCTGAGCTGGCGGTCACACCGACCCGCCCCCCAGCCCTACATTTAACAGGCCGAAACGAAAATTTAATACGTTTTGCAAAGTGATGAATATGGGGAAGGAGCTAACAGGGTACACAATAGCGCATGGTATGGGATCGGCGATGGAATGAAACCGAATAAAAATCTAATGAACTAAGCGGGTTCCAAATGAACAACCTGGTGACCGCGACCGTGCGCGATGACCTTGACACTGACCCTCTCTGTGTGAAACGTTATCCGGAGGAGAGGAGGGAGGGGGGTGTTTACAAACAAGGCGAAATAGGAGGTGCGACTTGCCCCACAGCGGAATTCGTGCAAACCTTGCTGCTTGCACAACTTGCGTGAGGAGGTGCCTGCTGCGACGACCTCCCCCCGGCCGCCGCCGATGGCTCAGAGTGTGCTGAGCAGTGTGGCACGCCGGGCCGGGTCACCGGGACCGGGGCTGTTTTTAAGGCCGGGGGAAGGGGGGAAGGGGGGTGCAGCCCAGACCGTTAGCCAGTGTGCGATTCATTTAATGAATATGCGAGTGATTCCAGTGACCCTGTCGGGGTCGCCCTGCTCTGCAATGTGCGTGTGTGTGTGTGTGTGTGTGTGAACGTGTGTGTGTGAACGTATATATGTGTGTGTGTACACGTATGTGTGACTGTGAGAGTGTGTGCGTGCGCACTTCGTGTTTGTCTTGATATTGATCGCGTGCATAGCAGTGCATCAAGAATACATGTCTGTGACGCGCGCGGGGGGCCCACCAAGACACAGGAAGCGACCCCCCTTCCCTCCTATCCCCTGCACCGGCACCACCGCTAGGGGAGGGGGGGGGGCGTAGGTTACGTCCTTCTTGTCCAGCGCTCTCTGTCTCTGTCACTCGCTAGAGTCCTTGAAGGAGGGAGATTCACCCACACGCAAACACGCACACCAACACACTCGCCCCCCCCCCCATCTCTCTCTCTCTCTCTCTCTCTCTCCCCCTCTCTCTGACACACACACACACACACACAGTCACTCACTCACACGTAATCGTCACGCCCGGCCTGCTGTGACGGGCCGTGACGGGCCGTGACGGGGCCGCTAGCGCCACACACGCCACGCACTGCCACGCCGCTATACGGCGGCTGCTGAACACCCGAACACCCGGCGGGGCGGGGCGCCGCTGCCGCTAACTCCTGGCCGGCCTAGAGTGGGCCCCCTTGAGCAGAGACAGTAAAACTTTTCATCAGGCCGACCGTAAAGGCCTGAACTGTTTGCGGTGTGAGCGGCGCGCGGAGCCATGCGAGGGTGAAAGTATGAAAACGATAAAATTACTCCGTAAACACACGAAACGGCCGCGGCGGCAGCAGGGGCTGCTTAGCTCGGCTTTCCTCTCGGCCGCACCGCGCGGCGAAACGCCCACACCGCTCCCCGCTTTTATTCGGAAAAGGAGAGAAGGAAAAGTAATGTCACGCCTACTCGTTTTCTTGCCCCTGCTGAATTATGGTCGAATGAATGCTAATCACATAACAATACCCCAACCAGCGCTGGCATACAAAGCCTCCCCCCGCCCCCGCGCTAGTCCCTCGCAATCTTTGACTTGTGAGTACAGTCCATTGGCTGATTATCCTATCACCCCCCC